GTGTCGGCTCACTCGGCTGTGTTCTGGCAGCGGCTCACCAAAAGTGAGCCAGCTCTGGCCCAGTAATGGTTGCCAGATTTGGCCAGGCTTCGGATGTGCAGATCTGGCCTGAGTTGCACTGAGACACGGCACATTTAGCCACATTCGGCCCGATTACGGACCATAAGGGCTGGTCTGATTTTGGCTGAGATATGGGCATGCATATCTAGACCAGTTTAGGTTGAGTGCTGGGGGTGGGTCTCCGTTTACAATGTGGTAAATAGTATGTAGCAATGACACTTAAACTTAAACATAATATCTTATGTTATTTCTTAGTGTATTTTTTATTTTAATTCCTATTAATATCTTTTTTCCTTTTATCCAACATTCTCTTTTTTTCTTTAACTACATTTGGAAATTAATGATTTAATTCATATAATGAAACAAGCTTAAAGTGCTTAAGGGAACTTTAACATTTTTTTGCTATACAAGTTTCAAGACATGCGCACTAGCTTTGACATCTGATGACAAAACCTGATGGGCTTTTTGTGCTGCTAACTGCCAGAAGACCAGAAGAACTTGCTACCCTGGTGAGTAAACATTTGATAATCTAACATATAATATAATTTGAATAAACCGTTTTACACATATAATATCAAAGTAATGTTTATTTATAATTAAGCTATAATTGTGAGTTCGCTGACATAGTGCTAGAGTTTAGCTCCAACCATAATCAAGCACACCTGATTCAGCTAATCAAGGTCTTCAGGATTACTAGGAACTTCCAAGCAGGTGTGAGTTGGAGCTAAACTGTGCAGAGCTGCGGCCCTCCAGGGATTGAGTTTGACACCACTGTACTGGTCTTTTCTTTTTTTTTTTTCTTCAATCAGTGCAAAGAAATGCAAGTACTGGCAGTGCATCAGATGGAGAGGTTTAAAAGTTCATCAAAAGATGGCTGCTGCTCACTTTGGACAGAGATGGGGGAAGAAAAGAGCGGGCCCGAATGCAAACAAATTATTCCAAAGGTATGTTCCAAATGTAAAAATTTACCAGTTACCATTCATGTTATCAAGTCAGATTCAGATAATCATATCTGATGAATGAATAATCACGTGTCATTGTCTGTTCCCCTTTTTGTATCTCTTTCTGTCAGTCTGTCCCTCTTTTAGAGTACGCTTGAGGAAGCTCCTGATTTTTTTTTTATAAATAAATTCTAATATCACTCATATTTTCATTGTGTGAAAACTTTCATTTATCCTTGGGGTGAAAGGAGCACATATGGATGTTATGGGGTAAATCATGGGGTCGGTGGGGATGCCATGAAAAGAAATGGTGTAATGGCCAAACCCTTAATCTTTGTAACGGTGACGATGTTTAGTTGACATGCATAAGTACATGTAGACTTAACAGTACTTTCCGTACCCACTGTATATATATATATATATATCAAACACACCAACCAAAATGGTACTCTTAGCCAGTAATGGCCTGAGTCTGGGTACTGAAACTGAGCCGAAACCACCGGCATTGGGCCACTCGTCGGTGTGATTGTGGCCCAATGCCGGTGGTGTTGACTCCGTTTTAGTACCCAGACTCGGGCCAGTACCGGCTAAGTGTTTCAATTCATGTCGGCGTGATTGTGGCCCAATGCCGGCAGTTTTGGCAGCCGGACTCCGGCCAGTGTATTTGGGCCAATTCTGGGGCATCATTCATCCCATGTCCATGCTGACTCTGGCAACCGCAGCCGGGCCAAGTTATTTCAACCGGCCTGCCGGATCTGGGCAATTATCGGGCCAAACTGTTTTGGCTACCTGGGAAGCGTTCTTAAATGGGCTGGGGCCAGTAGCATAAATATAGTCACTATGCTAAGAACTAGTTTGACCAACTAGCAGTTAGCCAAAAGGTAATCAGTTTTACTTTCTGGATTCAAATTAGATCAATCTACCCTTTTGTAACTGAGTTATGACCAGTCTCAAAGGAAAAAAAAAAGATGACTAACTTAGACTAGTTTAATTAGTTGATGCAACCGGCCTCTGATTAGCCAAAAATAAATAAATTAATAAATAATAATAATTCACACTTTTAACGTGCAAATGGTTTGTAAAAGGTGCCATTGCACGTTTGTGTTCTCGTTGCATTGTGACCAGCAGGCGTCCCCAGCATTAGGTGATTCGAGCGCCTCAATCCAAACAGGAAAAAAAAAATAAAAATTTATTTACGCCTCACGAGAAATTAGTCAATTTTATGAATGTTACTTTCTGAAATAAAACATCCTCACTAGCTGTTTATCACCCTATTTTAATGTGCATTTTGAAGTATCGCATGAGAAACGAGGGATGGAAACCCCAAATTTCGAATAAAAATCCCTTAATTCGCAAAAATGTTTTTACGCTCACTTGAGGTGGTTTTTGACTTGACTTGCGAAAAAGGGTTGATGCGAATAATGGGGGATGAAAATGCATTTTGCGAATAAATTCCTCCAAGTGCATCAAAAGTCATGTGACTGCGATATGGGATGGCAAAACCTGACTAATCAGTGGACCGATCTCATTCCACAGCATCTGAAATGTTGTTATGGTCATTTGGAAATGCTCGAGCAAAGTCTGTCAAAGTATTTCTGTATAATTGCCTCCCAGAAATGTCTTACACGACTGCGTTCCCAAACAGCAGCATCCACCTCCAAAAGCAATGACCGCATTCATTGTGTTTCGTCTGCTCGCTCTGAGGCGCAAGTAATTTATTATATATGAAAATTATTATATTCTCCTACTTTTCTTAGTGATTTATAGTGCCAGTTTATCAGGAAGTGACGATTTAGTTCTCTTTGACTTGTTGGATGGAAACGATGCTTGTATGAATTTAACTTGTGCGCAAAACCGGAATATCGCATAAAACATTTGCGCACAAGTTAAATTCGCAACTTTGGATGGAAACCCGGCTACTGATGCGACCGACAAATGCGATCTCCAAGATTAAATTTACCGCGTGAATCATTTTGGGAAGCATTGGTTCAATTGACTCTGAGTTTCGAAAAGCTTCATTTCTCCAATTACTATTTGCCAGTATCAGAATTAGTTTTTAAAATAAACTGATTAATGATATAAGGAGAGAAGCGAGATGCACCTTTTCTGTTACTCACGTGGGGGTGCGAAATAGCAACAAAATTAACGTTCATTAATGTTAGATAAAGTAGTACAATTTCACATTTAGTTATTATTAATTCACTACAAAGTTTTTTTTTTTAGATTAAACATCAAATTGCCTTACCGGTTTACAATGATTTAAAAAACTTTTGTGCAGCCAAATCACATCTAAAGTGTTTG